ACGAGGGGGTATCGAGGAGAGGCGAGAGGGCGGGCGCGCGTTCAGCGGCTGAGGATGGACGCGTTGAGCTCGGCGAGCGGCGCGAGCTCCTTTCTTCTCGATGAGCTTGAACTGCGTGCGAGAGGGGCCGAGCGTGAGTCCGAGGTCCGGGCTGGCGCGAGGCGGGAGCGAGGCGGGCGGGTGACGCACCTCGTCGACAAAGAGGAGGAAGTGCGCGTACGACGTGTTGAGGTGAGCTGCATGTGCGCGCGCGAGGGGGGCGTCAGTCCCGCTCTGACCGGTCGAGAGGAGGACAACGAGCGAGAGGCGGACGGACCCTCGATGCTGAGGGCGCACAGCTGCGCAAAGTGGTGGTTGTACAGGTGGGCGTACACGCGGAACAGGCGCCTGACGATCGACTTGACGGTCGCCTGGAACGTCTTGGGGAAGGGGACGCCTGTAGGTCCGTGCGAGGAGGAGGGGCGCGTGTGAGCAGAAGGAGGGAGGGCGAAAGGTGGGTTTCAGGATGACGGGGAGGGAGGGCGTGAGCGAGTCGGACTCTGCGAGGCTCGAGGAGGAGGAGAGAAAGAGGGACGGACCGATCTTGCTCGGGAAGATGGCCTCGTCGTCGAGCATGCCCTGGGTCCAGTTCATCAGGTGGTCGACGTACTCTGCGCGCCACGGATGGTCAGGGCCCAAAGCCACGCCACCCCTTGAACAGGGAACGACACGGCCGAGGACGTGAGAGCTTAGGCGCACCGGGCGCCGACATCTTTGTCGGCTTCTTGAAGTGGACGCCGTCCTGCCAGTGGTACTCGAAGCGCGCGCCGGCAGACATGATGGGGCACTCTTGCGGCGTGCAGAACTCGGTGACGCAGCCGTACTATGGGAGGAGAGCGCGGGGTCAGGAGGAGGGCTCGCGAGGAAAGAGGGAGGAGAGAGCGAGGGAGGGGAAGGGACGTACGAGCATGTTGATCTGGTTGAAGAAGTCGACGGCTGCGGGTCGGGCATGGGTGTCAGTTCCGTCCCTAGAGAGTGAGCGAGAGGGGACGCACTGTTGACGGCGAGCCACTCGTTGAGGTCCTCGCCCTCGGGGAGGACGACGGCCATGCGCAGGTTGCCCGAGCCGAGGCTGTGTGCGTGGCGGTCAGTGCGGGTTGCCTTGAGGGCTCAGAGGGTCGAGGCAGGAGGGACGCACGTTGCTTCGGCATACCTGGTCGTGGGAGGAGGCAAGACGAGGCTCAGCTGGTGCGCCGAGTGGGGAGGGAGAGAGGAGGGAGGAGGGCGCACTTCTTGAGCTGGTAGGCGCGCGTCGAGTTGTCGCCGTTGGCCCTGCGAGGCTTGAAGGTGCGGTTCTTGCCGCTGTCGAGGGGGTGTGGGTCAGCGGGGAGTGAGCGGGGGAGGGTGCGACGACGAGGACGACGAGGGGGAGGGGGAGCGAGAAAGGAGGGGGGACGTACAGGCCGCCGACGGTGCCAAAGAAGCTCATGGCTGCTGGTGTGCGTGTGCTACTTGACAGGCTGGTGGACAGGAGGACGAGGAGGACCAAGTCGCGTCGGTCAACTCGGTCGCAGCTCTGAGTTGCTCGTCGCCGCTCAGTCGCTTATGGCCGCCCTGCGCACCCGCAGACCGTTCACAGCTCCACCAGAGGACCCGCTCCTCGACGACGCCGCACCCGCTGTCCTCGACCACTCGGGTCCGTCCCTCCTCCTCCCCACCTCATCGCACCCTCCCAGGCTCACCCTCAGCCACCCACACAGAGCAGACACAAGTGGTCGACAACCTCGAACACCTCGCTCGCAACGCACAGCGCGAGTACGCCATCGCCTCCGCCGCCCTCTCGGCCCTCGTCCTCCTGTGCGCCCCCTCTCGACGAGTCGTTCCTCTCGCCGCACGCAGCCTCGCTCACCTTGTGCCGCCGCATCCACAGTCTCCTCGCCTTCCTTCCACTACCACGCACCGTCGCATCACCTTTCCTCGCCCGCCTCGTCGCCCTCTCGCTCGCCGCCTCGCTCGCCCGACACCTGTACCCTCTCGTCCGCCCTTCTCCCTCCCCCTCTCCCACTCTCGCACCCCTGCACCCACTCGACGCCCTCCCAGCGCTCCCCGCCGCCCTCCTCGCGCTCCTCGTCGCGCGCACCACGGCCGGCACCACCCAGGTCCGCCTCTTGTGGGGCGTCGCTCCGCTCGGCGCGCAGCTCGTCGCGGCCGTCCTGCGGTGGGAGGGCGCGAGGGCGGTCGACGAGGCGCGAGGGCTCAGAGGGTTGATGTACGACGCGCCAGAGGCGTGAGACGAGCACCGCTGCAGCGTCGTTGGTGCGGCTCCGAGGCGTCCGTGCGAGAGCAAGTCGGGAGAGACGAGAGCAAGTGCCGCGCGGCTCTCTCAGCGCCCTTGCACTAGAGAGCTGCGTGTTCCGACGAACGAGAGCTGCATCGCTGTTGCTCCCTCGAGGCGGCACCGGTCAGCGCAACGAGGTCACGTGACCCTCCTTACTCGAGCTCGAGTCTTCATCTCCCCGGCTCGCTCTCGCTCAACCACCACCCTCGCTGCACCCGCCGACCATGCAGTTCGAGGACGCAGACGAGGACGCTCTCGCCTCGCCGCAGCCGCCCCTCGCAGCGGGCCAGCTTCCGCCCACTGCCGCGCCCGCCCTCGCCTCCTCGCGAGCCGGCGCCACTTTCGTCGACGACGAGGCCATGCCCGACGACGACGAGGCGGAGGATGACTACGGCGAGTACGAAGACGACGAGGACGAGTGGGACGGCGATGCTGGGCTCGACGAGGGCTTGCTCGCCGTCATGGACCAGGACTGGGCCGACGCAGCTGGAGGTGCGCCTCGCCTCTCTCTCTCTCTCTCTCTCCCTCTCCCTCGGTGCGCCACGCGAGACGACAGAGCTGACCAACTCGCGTGGACAGATTTCACCAAGCGCTACAACCGCATGAAGCAGCAGGTGCTCGTCTCGCACGGCCAGGGCTCCTCGGGCGCGACTAAGGCCGACGGCTCGTCCTCCTCGTCGTCCACCAACGCCAGCTCTCGCCCGTCGGGCTCGGTCCTCCCTGCCACCAACCGCGCGCGGCGAGCTCCCGTCGCCTCGTCCTCGCGCACGAACGCGGGCGCCGGCGGCCCGTCCAAGGCCGACAAGGAGGCGGGCGTCCACCTCGACAAGGTGACGGACCAGCTCGCGCACTACTCGCGGTTCGCGTCGCGCATCGACCTCGACCCGCTGTGGCAGGCGCCGACGAGCGGCACGGCGACGCGCAAAGGCGGCTCGGAAAAGGTCCTCGTCAAGGACAAGAGCGACCGCGCGACCAACGAGCAGGTGCTCGACCCGCGCACTCGCCTCATCCTGTTCAAGATGCTCGGCCGAGGGTTGATCGAACGCATCGACGGGTGCGTGTCGACGGGCAAGGAGGCCAACGTGTACCACGCCGTCGGCCCGCCGGCAGAGGGCGCCGAGGTGCCTCAACTCGTCGACGTCGACTCGTCGGCGGCGCCTCCCGCCGCCGCCGATGACGAGCCTGAGCCTTCCCGTACCACTGCCGTTCGGTTTGCGCCCGACACCGCCGCCGACGACTCGACGTCGGCGCCGCTCGTCGACCCGTCGTCCCAGGTCAAGCACATCGCGCTCAAGATCTTCAAGACGTCGATCCTCGTCTTCAAGGACCGCGACCGCTACGTGACGGGCGAGTTCCGGTTCAAGGGCGGCTACGCGCGCTCCAACCCGCGCAAGATGGTGCGCCTGTGGGCCGAGAAGGAGTTGCGCAACCTGCGCCGCATGCGCTCGGCGGGCCTCAGGGTCCCCGAGGCCATCGAGGTGCGCGAGAACGTCCTCGTCATGGACTTCCTCGGCCAAGGCGGTGCAGACGAGTGGCAGTGCGTCCTCCTCTCTCTCTCTTTCTCGCTTTCTCGTCCTCGAGCGGGACCGGGTTGCTCACTCTCCCTTTCGCTCGCTCGCAGAGCTTCGCCGAGGCTCAAGGACGCCCAGATCCCGCCCGAGCAGAACCACGCCCTCTACATCGAGATCCTTGTCATCCTGCGCGCCATCTTCTATCGGTGCCGCCTCGTGCACGCCGACTTTTCCGAGTACAACATCCTGTGCGTCCCTCGCCCCCCTCTCTCTCGTCAACCCTCCCTCCCTCTCTCCTCGTCGACCTTCTCGGCGTCTTCACCCTCGCGCTCGTCGTCGCCGTCGCCGCCGTCCTCGCACGGGCCTCTCGAGCGCTGAACTGACCCTCCCCCTCGTCGCGCCACCTGCAGCTACCACCAGGGCCACCTGTGGGTCATCGACGTCTCGCAGTCGATCGAGCACGAGCACCCGGCCGCGTTCGACTTCTTGCGGTCCGACCTCAAGAACGCCGACGACTTTTTCCGCAAGCGCGGCGTCGACACGCTCGGCCTCACGCGCACGTTTGCGTTCGTCACGCGCGACGAGTCGCTCGCCGCGTCGGGCTCGGCCGCCGACGAGACGGACGCCGACGCGGCGCGCGAGGTCGAGCGCCTGCTCGGGCTCGCGGCCGACGATGCGGCGCGCGAGGAGCGCGAGCAGGCACAGGCGCAGGCGCGCGGCGAGGAGGAGCAGCAGCGCCCGACGGCGAGCGACGAGGCCGTCTTTGCCCAGGCGTACATCCCGAGGACGCTCGACCAGGTGTACGACGCCGAGCGCGACGTAGAAAAGGTGCTGAGGGGCGAGGGCAAAGGGCTCATCTACGCCGACATTACGGGCGTCGCCAACATCCATCTCGGCGGCGGCGGCGGCGGCAAGAAGGGCGACGAGGAGGAGGAGCAGGACGTGGGCGAGGTGGTGCCGGCGCCGGCGGCCAAGGTCAAGGGCGGGCGAGCGGCGGCGGGCGAGGAGGAGGGAGGGGAGGGGCTCGAGCGCTCGGGCGACGAGAGCGAGGGGTCCGAGGACGGGCCGTCGGACGATGATGAGGACGGCTCGGGCGACGACGAGGACCAGGAGCGGCGGCCTCGAGGCAAGAAGCACGAGGACAAGGACGACAAGAAGGTGCGCCTCCTCTCGCCCTCTCTCTCTCTCTTTTTCTCTCCCAGCCGTCCCTGACTCTCCTTCCTCGCGCTCGCAGAAGCGCAAGCAGGAGACCAAGGAGAAGGCGCGCGAGAAGCGCGCGACCAAGATGAAGAAGTCGGAGAAGGCGAGGCGGATGAAGAAGTCGAGCGGCAAGCGGTGAGGGCGGCGACGGCTCGGCGCAGCGCTCCTCTTCCCTCTCTCTCCTCTCCTTCTCTATCTCTATCTCTAGATCTCGGGCATCTCGTGCGGGTCTCTCTCGGTCCTTGTTGTGTACACCTCCTTGCAAAGCACCTCGAGCTCATCTCCTCGTCGGCGTCCGAGAGCTTTTCTCGAGAGCTCTCCTCGCTCGGACGCTCGGCTTTCAGCTCGCTCGCGACGAGCGAGAGTAGAGAAAGTTCACGCTGTCGTTGCACACTCGGAAGCTACGCCGCACGCTTCGACGCCACCTGCAGCCGGGCCGACAGGATCTCGCTCGCCGACGTGCCGACGTTCAGGGTCGACGCGAGTTGAGGCTGAGTCGGGGCGATCTTGACGCGCACAAAGTCGTTGTAGCGGGCGAACAGGCGGTCGAACCACTCGGACGGCGGCTCTTTGCCCGCCGAGCGGTCCCACAGGTCAAGGAGGAAGAAGATGATGAGCGTTAGGTGGCGATGCAGGGGGCGCCACGGCTCGGCCAAAGTCCCAACGTCGTTCGCGATGAACAGGTCGTGAAAGGCGGTGACCATGACGGGATCGATGCCCGACGTGACGGGCACGATAGTGCTCGGACCGATGCCGAGACGAAGGGCTTCGAGCGCCCGCAGGACCTCGAGGACCGCCGAGCGGGTCGTGCGAGTCACGAGGACGGGCTCTGCCGTGCCCACAGTGCACTCGCGGATGATGGCCTGCGGGAGCAAAGAGGGACGCCTGTCATTCATCGCGCGCGCGCAGAGGAGGAGCAAAAGGCGGATGGGGACGCACAGGAAGCTCCGACACGTTGACCTCGAGACCGTACTTGAGCCCGTCTTCCACCGATGTACAGGGAGGTGCGAGTACCGTGATCCACGCGCTCGGGTCGCTCATGTGGGCCATGATCTCGTCGGCCTCGAGCTGCGACAGGAGCGGCCACATGAACAGCTTGGCCTTGTCCGGTCCGCAGACACGGCGGTGCGCCTTCCAGACCTGCGTGGGCGTCGACTGAGATGATCAGGCCCCGGCGCACAGAACGAGGAAGGGAGAGGGAGAGGGAGAGGGGAGACGCACGAGCTTCTGGTGGTCGGAGGAGCAGAAGAAGAGGTCGA